CTGCTCGGCTGCTCTACCTTTGCTGCACAACGCTCCTTGGTGGAGCGCGCACGGGCAGCTTCCAGCTCCACTGGCGTCCCGGAATATGGTCTTGCCACTCTAGCACGCCGATGGGCCACGTCGGCACTCTCTAGTAGACTTTTTCTGAAATATGTTTTTTACCACCACCACCACCGCATCACGAAGGGCCCCATATACTCCAATGTAGCGTTGACGTGCGCGCGTGCTACGCACAGTGACGCAACGTTATCAAAACGTGAGCACTTTAATAGTCGCACGCCAGGCGCGACCAGCGTCCCTCGGTGCAGCCCGACGGCAACCGTTGCAAAATGCGACATGCTGCATTTCGCCACGATGCGTTACCCAGACAACACTGCGCCTCGCTTTTTAGGGGCGAAGCTCTTTATAGTGGCACCCGCTCGTCCCCCGTAGTATGTAACAAGTATAACATTTTAACCTCCAAGGTGGTGCCAGTGAGAGACTTCTTCTATGCGTTGTATAATAATAAAAATAGTGCTCAATGTACTTGTCAATGGCTGCTAATGGGGAGAGACAGGAGCATTCGGCTTTTAGTTAACGCGCAGGCTGTGATCAACATTAGCAGCCATTGGCATGTACATTGAGCACTATCTGACAAGAAAGGGTTGCTACGTTATACTCGCTGGGTGTAACCACCTTAGCTTTAGAAAGGTTTAGCGAGCGTTGAGCCGCAGTGCCAGGAATACAATGAACTTGTATATACAATGAATAAACTCTAGGTGGTTAAAAATGAGAAGTAGATACGAAACACAAGCCGTAAGAAAGTAAAAGCCGAATGCTTCGCCTCTCATTTCCCATTAGCAGCCATTGGCATGTACATTGAGCACTATCTGACTGAAAACGTTTGCTACGTCATACTCGCTTGGCGTGACCTCCTTGGTTTTCGAAAGGTTTAGCGAGCGTTCGGCCGCAGTGCCATGAATACCGTGAACTAGTATATACCATGAGCTCGAGGTGGTTAAAGGTGGGAAGTGGACCCGAAGCGCAAGCCGTAAGAAAGTGTGCGTGTGCCACATCTCGTATAGTTTTTGGAATGTCCGCTGGATGGCGGTGCTTCTATATGGGGAATATATGATGAAAAGATGCGAGATGGTGGTACTAGGAGTGTTGAATAGATGGATGAACGGACACATAGACAGATGCATGGATGGACGCTTGAACGGACGCAGGGGTAGCTGCATGGATGAACGCAGGGACGGACGCACGAACAGACGCGCGCACGGACGGGCTGATGGACGCATGAACGGTCACACTGACGAACGCATGGACGGACGGAAGCAAGAACGAATGGACGGACGAATTCTTCGCCCCACTTTCCGTCATTCACTCCGTGGATATGTTGCCATTTTTTTCTTGACGGAGGGAGGCCGAACGCGCTGAAAGTCACAGCGTCAAAGCAACGCAGCGTGGCGAGTGCCTGCGAGTATGTGGCAGGACCGGCACCTGGCGTGGCAACGCCGGCGTGACACGACGAAATGCACGCCAGCGAGCACGTGCACCACGTCACGTCGAAATATATTGGCGCCTTGACTGCGGCATTTAGTCACGTCATCACACGACATGCATCTCATGATAATTATGTTTGCACCAGTCACATACTTCGTCATCCATTGCCGTCACGTAATATCAAATTTGGCATATGTGAAGCTAGCGAAATGGCCGCGAGAGCGTCATGAGTGTAGCATTTAGTCATGTTGTTACATGACACGTATGTGGTGGTTATCATGTTTGAACCAGTATCCTACCTTCGACATCCATTTACGTCCCGTAATACCAAGTTTGGTATAAGTGAAGTTAGCGAAATGGCCGCCGGCGCATCATGAGCGTGGCATGTAGTCATGTAGTTACGTGATATGCATATCATGATTATCATGTTTGCACCAGTCACATACCTTCGTCATCCATTCACATGCTGTAATACTAAATTTGGTATAAGTGACGCTAGCGAAAGAACCGTGAGCCCGTCAAAAGCGTCGCATGTAGTCTTGTTGTTACGTGACACGCAAGTCAAGATTTTCATGTTAGGGTCTGTCGCTTGTGTTTGCCTTGCAATCATGTCATACCATACCAGTTTTGCAACACGCCATGTAAACGACACCCGCGCAAGAGCTGCAGAATCATGAAATATAAATAATGACATTCATGACACACTTGTCATAATTTTCATGTTATGACTAGTCAAATACGTTTTTCATACAGTCACGCTATGGCATACTAAGTTTGGTATCAATGCAATTATCAGAACGGCCAGGAGAGCTAAAAGTCCTAGGCGTCTCGATAGATAGATAGATAGATAGATAGATAGATAGATAGATAGATAGATAGATAGATAGATAGATAGATAGATAGATAGATAGATAGATAGATAGATAGATAGATAGATAGATAGATAGATAGATAGATAGATACGCTCAAAGTCGCCGAAGTTCGCTAAGAAGTGGTTCGCGTTTAAAACTTTGGGGTACCCTTAAAAAACAGTCGTGCAAGGTAACCAAAAATACAGACGCCCTCCAGCGTTTGCCTTTACTTGAATATACCTCACATTTTCACCCATAAGTCAAGACGCTGACGCCACCAGCACTGGAACTTCTCCAAAACGAGCTCTTTAACGTTATTGGGGTAAAGAAACGTGAGAAATGTCTCCTGGTTCTGTTTGAAATTACCTGAGGGCATTGTTTTGGGCAGGAGCGCTGTCCCATACTGGAAAAGGCGTTAGGCAGCAACACACAAGATGATATGGCAGAGGCATGTGTAATTCCCCTACAATGCATAAACATTTAAAGGGTCCATGCAGCAGCTTTCCCTGCACCTAACAGTGCCACTGATACCTGTAAAATGTGTTTGATTGTTAAGTAAAAGCCATTCCACCCTGCTATTTGTTCGCATATTGTGACATTTCTTTTCCGTTCTGGCATAATAGCGTCTCCAGAATTTCTGCTGGTCCTACAGGTGCCGAAACGACATCGAAAAACCTTGAGACTTTTGGCTTGCTATGCGGACAGGTATACAGCCGGCGGGTCATTATACGAAAAAACTAGTGGCTTCTTTTTCAGCTTTCCTATGCTCTAGGAACAAGTTTGGACCAGCGAATAAGGGACTCCAACTTCTAATTCAGAAAAGACGTTGAGCCACCTGAATGTCATCGCTGTTCTATTAAAGCGCTTTTGAGAAACCGCCACTATGAGTAAATAAATGTAATATCTCTCCCGTACGTCACACATTGACGATGATCTTGATAAAGAATCAGCACGGGGGTCCTGTCCTAATTCTTCAATAGTTTATATGCCTCACCTTACACTGGATTTTAAAACCATTCGTGCCCTATCCTCCTTCAGAAATTGGGTAGAGAAATTTAAAAATTAGGCAAGACACACTTGCGCATTGTGACTGTAAACATGAAAGCACAACCTGGTCGGCTACTTGGCGTCGATAAAAAAAATACGCCAACACGGCAGTTGCTTAATTCCACTGCTTTGTACGGAGGTGGCAGCGGGTAGGTACTCTAGAGCTACTCCTACAAGATTCGAAAATCGCGGCAGCTTTCGGCAATATTAAATACTAGCCTCTTTTTAGAATTACTACACACGTGACTGATGAGTTTTGCATTTCTGTAAGATGGGCAGCCAAATTACAGAGCATTGAAGACGAATAAACCATATTACATGTTGTAGTATACTTACTGATAAGACATTCCGAGTCAGGCGCGATTCTGGAGTAATTTTCCACTAAAGGGCGCTAAGTGACTGCGGACTCTCTGCACCGGCTCAGAAGAGTACTCGGAATTTCTTTCACGGTCCTTTTACCGACGTATATTAAGTCTCCAAATGAAACTGGTAACTGTATTGATGTCACAATCGTGAAAGTGTCTGATGAAAAGAAAAAAGAAACGCTCGTACTGAAAACTCGGGAACGTGCTTTGAGGTAGAAAGCGCCACTCCGGAGTCCATCCTTGATAAGGAAATGGCGCCGACGTGCGAGTAGAGGAGAGTTGCTTGATTTCGTAATGATTTGGAAGTATTCAAGAGGCGACACTACTTGACTTGTACAGAACCACAAGGCTAATTTTATGCTTGCAAGACAGCGCGAAACAAAAGAGCACACCGGAAGAACCAGCAGGAGCGAGTACTCGTTAGGTGCTTCATTTCGCATGCAAATCCTGATATTATCAACTCCCAAAAGAAATACCCGAAGTGCCAGAGGCCCCTGTACCATGCGACTTCAGATCACAATTGGAAAAGCACATGGCCAAACTAACCCTGTAGCACCCATGGCATTCTCTTCAACAACCTTAACCTAGTGTCACTTTGTTACATTCAACACATTACACCAATCAGTGTAATGCACGAAGCAACCACTTACAGAAACCAAGTAGTACACGCGTTCTTGATAAAACGTAATGTATTGGTAAATTTTTCATGTGTCACTGTGTCGGATAGTTAAAACAGGTAAAAGATGTTGACATGCACAGGAAAATACGTTAGAGATCTTACATACAGCGGGCAAATGCAGACGGCCAGACGACGGCCTTCTTCTTGCTCGGATGCTCACACAATTGCGTTCATGATACAAACAATATTTTGGTGCTACACGTCTCCTAACTGCTACTGCAGCGCATTTAGGTGTGGCTAGCTTACTGTACCAGTTTTTCTTTTGCTAAGCTATTTCGCCATTCCGTCCTCGTTCTTTCCGCCATTAAACGGAGGTGGTGACAGCCAGGCTGCTATGCACGTGCACACAACGAACCACGTCTCATGATGAGGCTTCACTGCAGGACGTGCTCGCAATGAAACTCTTTCTGAAACCTCCTCGCCACATTGTTGCATCTCGCCAGAGTAGCAACGAACTAACGGTTACATAAGTTACTTATCAACGCTGTGCCGTGCTCCCCCCGTGGGCTGCATAAATAATCGCGTACTTTGTTCTCCAGCGCGAACCGATTATATATATATATGTACCCGTGGTTCAGCGAAATCAGACGCCAGATAGCTTTATCGTCACCATAGACGAACATGCCTGTCTTACTGTACAACCTTGTGGGGAGCCCATCGTGCGGCTTCGTTCGCTGCTTGGCGAAAGAGCTTGGCGTTCAGCTAAGCCTCAAAGACGTCGATTTCAGGCAAGGGAGAACAGTGCTCAGCGGAGTACCTCAAGGTTAGTATACATGGTATGCCCTGGCACCTTTTTGTGTAAAATATGCATGCGCCCTACTGAGTGTTTTTTCACAATGTAAAAATAGAGACCACTCATTTTTTAGTCCTCACAACCTAGCTTGGCAAGCACACGAGTCGACTCACTTGAACTCATTCGCTCTCCGACCAAGTAGTGCGTCCGAGGCTTTGTCAGTCGAGCAGGGTAATATTCAGATACATTGAGTCCCAGTGATTACCATTGTGGAAAATTTGAACTATATTACGTTCTAGTGAGTCCTCTGCGCAAATGATGTTTCTTCAGGCAGAGCTCCACTATTATTTGTTCACCTTTGGTTCCACGGACTCATTTTAACTGTACTATAAGCCTTACATAATATCATGTAAATACTCAAGTCTATCGACACACATCTGAATGCACGAGCGTCCATGGGCCAGCTTTCATTTAGAGATCGAATGCTTGAGTTTTGGGTGTGGATGAGGTACCACGACTTCCTGCCGCATGCACTGTCATTGTAAGTCCCTGGCCGAAACACTTGTAAGTCTCGTATTGGGCAAAAAAATGTTCTTACTGTATTGAAACCACTGGTAATGCGTTACTTGAAGACACATGTTTGATTGTGCGCCTTAGAACTCCAATTATGTGAGATATTGACTTTAAATAGCAACTATAGGATGATGAAAAACCGCAAATAGTTTTTTTCTAAAAGACTTATATGTCGACCCAGGCTGACCATAACTCTACATAAGCCATGAGTTAGGCTATATACGTATTCAGTATGCAATTTTCTGCTATGTTTCACAACTTATCCTCCTTTCCGTCATCCTCTTCACCCCTAAATGACTCCCGCTCCCCATCACTTCACTAGTCACATCGTTGCTATGCAAATCTCTATACATATATACGTAAGTTGTCTTCGCCACCGCGCACTTCATAATGCCATGCTTTACCCTCTTCACTCATCCATTTTATCTTCCTCTCCCGCATACCCATTCTTTATTAAACTATGCATTGCGCTACACGTCTTTTTTGCCTTCACGAACACATGACATGACCGGAGATGATGGTGACGACATGGCACATCAGACTACCAACTTCTGAGTCCCTGAAGTCTACCTGATTTAAAATCACACCTCAAAAGAAAATCGAGTGATTCTTTTGTTGAACACAACACACCTTGATGTTTCGTCTTATTCGAACCGTTTTCGCAACGTATTCTGACATTGCTACAGCTCTGTCATATGAGCACTGTTTCCAAGGTACTGCAGGATGCGTGAATCATACATTCTGTGTTGGTGAAGTGTGCAGATACTGAAACTTCAGATTATGCACCAGCATGCTTCATTCCTTGCAGATCAACCCTTTCCACAAAGTGCCTGCGATTAACGACAACGGCTTCATCGTCTACGAGAGGTACGATACATTTATCAATAAGCACCCTCTATACCACGTCGTAACGACTGGTTTGATCTGGTATTATCTAGTTTCCGATAGCAACAATACTCCCCAGGAAATCTTTGAGAGCACACACCAAATGTCGTCAAGAAGCAAATAATCAGATTTAAACTGCCAGTTGTATTAACATTTATTGATATATTATTATTATTATTATTATTATTATTATTATTATTATTATTATTATTATTATTATTATTATTGTTGTTGTTGTTGTTTTGCATTACAAAGCAGCAATATGATTTTAGGGGCCGCTGAAGGGAACGAATCCGTAAACATTGTCTATCTGGGTTCTTTAACGTGCTCCCAAATCCACGTTCTACATGAAAAGCCTACATGAAAAGTGTGGGAATGCAATCCTGTGAATTTGTGTCAGCAGTCGAGCACAAATAGTTATTTGTTCATGGACGTTCGTATCAGATACTGTCAGCTTGCAGTATCTCGAACACTGTGCAGTAAAAACGAAGCAAAAATGAATGCGTTCTATGTTAGGATCGTTTTGTTCCCGACCCTAAGCGCCTCTTTCTTATGCTAATGTGGGCTTCTGCTACGTGTTTAATTGTCAATCGCTCTGTCTGTGCAGCACTGCCATCGCCTACTACCTACTTCGGAAGTATGCTCCGGATTCGCAGCTCTATCCAAACTGCATTCAGACACGCACTCGCATCGACCAGGTGCTTGCAGCAGTAAATGGCAACATAAATCCTAACCTGGGCGCTTTTCTGGTGAGTCGAGACTGTTTATTGGTACTTTATGTCAGGCAAGCACGCTGTCCTAATGATAAAAAACATATTTTGTACCTTGCAGTCTATTATTGATAGCTCAAAAATCACTAAAAAATAACAACTTGTCACAGATGTGGTTCATTCACCTCAACTGTCAGAGCTTGAGTACAAAGAACTACGGGGCCAGACATTTCTATCTTCCTAGTCCTGTTTGCACAAAAACACTTTCGGTAAATAAAAGTGGTTATGCTTTATGACAATTCATTCAACCAATTGGTCGAAGGAGATCTTTATGACGATCGTTCGCGCACAGCGACAATGGGCCCGTCGTCACCCATAAGAGGTTGTGTGAATTTCAGAGAATTAAGATAAAATATTCCTGTTGTTACGACCAATTGAATTCCTTCGCATGTGCGCGCTAAAGTATGTACTCATCAACTTTCTGTTACCACCGCTACATGTATGTTGTTCTGCACTACACAGACTCGGAGATCTATGGTGCGGAGACGTGTATTTTGCAGGCGAAAAAGAGGTGTTCCTATGCTAAAGGATATCTTCATTGCGTGCATGGCAGAAAAATAGTAGAGTGTTTTGCGAAGTTCCTCGTTTTTCGAAGTTCCTCGTTGCTCTACTCATAAACACTGTGTCAGGAGGTTCAGAAAAGTAGTCACAACAATCACGTTAGCGGGCAAAAATGATTTTATTTGACTCATTTTTACATTTTACACGCGCATAAAAACCATTATGATGGGTATTGAGCACGGTACAAGTCCACAATGAAGCATGCGCTAATGGCGACAATGTTGGTGGAGAGCAGCAGCGTCTAAAGCACGCATAGCATCAATTCTAACGTGACGGCTCAAAAATCAGCGCGAGTGGTTAACTGTCGCCTGGATTTTCTGGGGGAACAATGATCAGCGGCCAAGCCGTGTTGTTTGTTCCCATCGCAGATTTGGAAAATATCGATTGAGTAGGACAGATTTTAGGAATGGAAGGTGTGAAAGGAGGAGAGGAGAGTGCGTAACATACCGTGAGAAGTTGTAGCAAGAGAACGAAAGGCATGAGAAAGACGCAGTGCGAGGAAGAGAACAAAAAAAATGTCCATGAAGCGAAATAAATAAAAAAAAGTGAAAAAACAGTGATATATAAAAAATAAAGATGGAGCAAGAAAAATAGCAAAGATCAGGGCGAAAAAAAAAACAATAGAGATCTTAGAAATCGGGAGGTCAGAACCAGGAAGAGGAATGCCGCCTGTTCCACTGCTACCATCATGTACAGCAAAAGCTGTTATGAGATCACAAATAGGGTAGCGTATAGCGTGCGTCGTAGTTATGCGCCTCCGGCCGTGTCTATAAACACTATCAAACTGAATGAGAAAAAAATACTTAGGAAATAAAAAAGCTTAAGGACGCAATGAGATTCCAACCAGGGCCCTCTGCATGCAAGTCCAATATTCTATCACTGAGTCACGCCGCACGCTTGCAACTCCTTTTCAGACTAGCCTTAGGCAGGCTTGATGTCGGGAAAATAGTCGCACCAATATGAGCAATAAAGCATTTTGGAACAGCAAAGGAGCAACCGGGCGTCAAGAATCGCCTTATGAGTAGATCGTGAAACGCTCCAACGCATTACAAATGCTTTAGGTAAAATTCATCATCGTCGTCAGTCACAGCATGAAGCAATTGCACAAAATTCCTTTGCAAGCGTATAGCGGGTACCATGGTTCACCAAACAATGACGAAGGATGACGTAGCCGATGCCTGGCCAATGCGCCACAGTAGGTATGAGCCACAAAAGATTGTGGACAAGAACAAGAGTCCCTGTCCATATACTTCTAAATGTTATGATTTATCGCGTAGTGAGCCCACTGTAAGTGGGCTTGCAGCACCTACGCGAAGAGCGTTAAAAAAAATCTGAAAGAGCTGCCCTTCCATCTTTTGCTGTGACAGTGCGGCACGTTCCACGTAGACCTGGCGGCTTTTTTATTTGAACACCCGCTGCCGTTTAGGTTTTTCACGAATATTGTTCCCTCCTTTTAGTCATAGGTTCATGGCGGTCACTTTCGGTGCGCTCCGAGGCCTGTTCGAATGAAACGCATTGCAGGCAATTATTTGCAATATACCAAGAGTTCAATGCGTATAAACAGAAGATACGCTGCAGAAGAGTACTCGCCCGAGTCGTCCGGCGGTTAGAATTATCGATGGTTGAAGGATTGAATTTCTAGTATTATCGATCTTTATGTATGGTTACTTGGTTGCTCCTTTTTAGGGAGGGCTGTGAAAGTTATTACTGCATAGATTTTATAGAAAAGCAAGTAACTCTGGGAATTTCGCTACATCTTCATTTTTCTTCATAGATGATCCTCAACACACTGTGACACTTCTATTCAAATTGTTTTTCAGTGATACTCCTTCAAGCGCAATGGGCAATGAGGTTACGTACTTAGTTCATAATGCTTTTTATTGTTATCATTGTATTGTACTTGCTTTCAGCAGTCAGTTATTTTAATATTTTGCCGATGACACAGTAGAATTGAAATTCAGCGTTAAATAGAGGCAACCAATAGAAATTAGGATGACTGTTTGCTTATAACGCGATGACGTCATGTTCATATGTTGATGTCTTGGACGCAGCATCCTCGATGTGTTCAAAAAACGAAACACAGTGCTGATGAGCTCAAGGCCTGCGAAGAAAAAGTAGTAAAGGTTCTGGAGCGCCTCGTTGGAGAAAGCAAATTCGCCGTTGGTGACAAGATCACCCTTGCTGACCTCTGTCTGTTGGGTCACATCATTTTCTGTCTCGAGGTAAGCGTATCCTGGTCCTTTTTGCAGCTCACAGTTGTGCAGTGACATCAGCTCTTAGCGCACTTACGGTCAGCCACTGATGATACGAGCTTCATAGGTCACAAAAAAAAACAATGAATAAAAGTTGCCGGTTTAGTTGTGACAACTTAAGTGGGGATTTATTCGAATGTATAGAAAAAGACGACTTCTCAAAACGTAATGTAGTTCTCTGTTTAAATATGTCCACGTGGCCAGTCTCTACTATGAACCGCCTCCTTGTCTGTCTTATAACATTTCTCTCTTCTTAGTTCCCATGCTGACTTTCGAGGTGTCTGATCTTTGTCAACCACTGAAATGGCATAAAGGACCGCAAGAAATGAAGAAAATTCACTACCAGATACTATTATAGCCTCGGGAAAGCAGCATCTTCAATGATTAGGTCAATGTGGACAATCGCTCCTGAATATCGGATGGACAGTTTAATTTGTCGTAGCTGTCTAGTCGCCATCAGGCAGCGTGAAATATTTTGCTCCAAGCTAGGCAAGCTTCAAGCCCCGCGTAGATATTGCATATGAACGTTTGATTATAGAGCTAATATTAGGCCATAGACCAACTTGGGACAATGAGTTGCGCAAATATACTTGCGTGCCAGAAGCATGCACTATTTATTAAGTGTATTGACTCTGAAGCGCGTATAGAAAAGGCACGCTGCTAAGAGATGCTTTTAATTTAGGCGACGTGACAAGCCATTGCTGAAACTGAAATTGATGTAGCCAAAGGCAGGAAGATTTGTAATGCTTTCGTTAATCAAATTCCACAATATTTTGACAGTTTAAAACAAAGGCACATCAATTGTTCTTAGAATTGTTAGCTTAAAAAACAACTGCAGAAACCTTACTGCATTATATCTGGCAACCCAAATGTGAACTCATGGTTTACTAGCTGTCAGTCGTGCAAGAATATCCGGCTTAAAAAGACAACGTTGAAAATCTCATTTCAGACAGACGCCTTGGGCGAATAATGTTTTTCAGAGAACAGCTCAGAAAATCACAAAATATGTTACGATGTACAAGATTTGTGAATTCAGCTGCAGTGTTTCATAAGCGCACTGAATCTAGCGTTATCGAATGCAAGGTATAAACCCAGAAGGGGAAACAAACTGCTGAGAACGTTGAGAGAAAAAAAAAGCAACTTTTCTTTTGCACCAGCTGAACAAAATAGAACAATAACGCGCATAGCATCATCTAGCTGTATATGTCTGCCAAACAACCGCAAATGGTGGATAGAAACCTGCATTAGGTAACTACAAGGAGCGAACATATACGAAGTGAATAAAGAAGTACATCTGAAGAATAAATCGATAAGCGAACAAAAATCAGACTCTAGAAAAGTGAAGGCACGTTGGCAGAGATAAGAGCCTTCTTGTTCGCAATTGATAAAAAGAACATTATAGCCGCGCAGGGCTAAGCATGTGAGAAGCTGCGAAAATAGGGGCTCTTCAAAAGTGTGTCAGAGGGTCACTCAGTGTAGTTAAAAGGCAGCTGCAAGGATTTATATCGCAAAGACATTCTGATGGGTACAGCGTGATTACATGTAACAGCAGATTCCGACACAGAGAATTGTTCGTGGTCATGCACAATGGCCTTTTGCTTGAACCACAGCGAAAAGTTCCAGTGTCGTACTGTTCTGAATAAATTAAACAACGCCAATATATTAAATACAAAGACGTCGATTAAAGTCAAGAGCTGACCACAAATTTTAAGATTTGGGTATTGAATTTCTTCTGCAAAATGCAACACGGTAAAAGAGCCTTTGATGGGTATTGAATTTCTTCGGCATATTTCAACACGGTAAAAAGAGCCCTAGATCCACTTATGACTGTCGTTGCATTTTTTTCTCTTTATGCAGATTCCTTGCGTCAACAAAGCAAAGTACCCAAAGCTTACAGCATATTACGAGCGTGTCAAGACATCATTGCCCTACTTTGATGAAATTTACGGGCCTGCCCTTGCCCTAATCAAGACGTTGTGGGACAGGATGAAGTGAGCACGTCCCAGTGCGACCTTCGAAAGAGAAGCACACGATGGAATTTAATGAGTAAATATGTGTTGTTCTCTTATTCGTATGTTGTAAAGTATGTGTTGTGTCACAAATTTGTTTAAAGAATTCTATGCATTACTCAAGTACATGAACACCCCAGATGTCAGGGCGTCGACTGTGAGAATGAATGTCGGCTTCAACTCAGTTGCCATGGTATATCAGAAGAGCGTGGGCTGAAGTTGCTATGCACAATGAACTTACTGCAATTAGGCCCCACCGTGGCGGTCCTAATGGCTGCAGACCCGCAGGTCACGGGATCAAATCCTGGCTTCGGCGGCTGCATTTCAGGATAGGAGGCGGAAATGTTGTAGGCCCGTGAGCTCAGATTACAGTGCACGGTAAAGAACCCCAGGTGGTCAAAATTTCCGAATCCTTGCACTACGGCGCCTCTCCTAATCATATTGTGCTAATGGGAAGTTAAACCCTACATATCTATCAGCCTACTGCAGTTAGATGACGGGCGACTTATGTACCGTTTCTACGTGTGCAACATATGGTGTGTTAGACATCACTTTGACCTAATGCCTTCATTTGGCACTCATGAAGTTTTTGCAGGATACGGCGAACAATCCAAACGCCCTTTTAAGGTTCCTCAATACTGTATTAGCTGCAGACTATTTATTATTGCATGTAGCGCATTCGTGCAGAAATTTCAACTGCCATGCAACTAGAAGCAAAAGGTGGGCCAGTTTGTGGTTCATGGTTAGATGTAAAAACAGTGCGAATATACAGACAAAAACGAACGAAGCGACAACTAAGGCACTAAACTTGGAACTAAATTTTACTAAAAGGAACACACACACATATAAGGCAGAAGACATAGTCACACGGCCTACTATGGTGACTACGCCACTAGAGCAACAAGGGTACAAAGAATAATGTAACTTCCAAGAAAAAAAAACAAATACTGATCACACCTACTTTCTAAAAAATAAATATGCTGACAGTCGAAAAATACTAACAATCACTTCGACCTGTCAGCGCTGAACTCAGATATTCTACCTCCTTTTCACCAAAAGCCCGGAACGGTTCGCTCACGCATCTTTCCTCCTCCCTTTCTATGCAAAAAGCCTCCATCACATTTCTATTATTTTTGTCCAGATGTCCAAACAAACAGGCGCTTTTATCTACCAAACGTACTTGTTAAGAGACCTGTCTGCCTGAGGCACATTGCTAATATGTGTCTGAAATCTAAATAAGGTACTCTCATTCTCTGTAGAACAGTTTTGTAAATGTTCACTTTTACAGGATTATAGGTTATGTCACAGTATTATAGGTAATGTACGCTCATTTAATACCGAAATACTAAAGATAACATGGCAAACAGTTATTTAACAGGAATCTGTTAATATATACTGGGTGGTGCCAACTTCTAACATGGTTCGTAGAAAGATGTTCCAGGTCAATACTGAAAGGTAGTATAGCAAGATTTGCAGTAAGCATTGCACTGCGCTCGAAGGAACTGTTTTATTGGGATAGCAATTACATGGACACTTTCGGTTGATTTTTACGTCGCCGTCATTCCCCGGATATGTATACTATAGAGATATATGTAAAAAGGGCAAAAAATAATCAATTCAATAGACAAACATTTGGAGATCCCACATACAGTGGGAATCCATTATATGCGAAGCGCGAATGAGGAAGGTTGATATATCATTTTGAAATCAGCACAACGTTACGAGTCGGAGGTATATTATGCTGTACATGACTTCCATGTCATGGCTATCATGTTTGGACGTGTCATTTAACTTCGTCATCTACTCACGTCACCTGATACCAAATTTGGTATATGTGGAGCTAACTAAACGACGGCGAGCGACACATGAACGGCCCAATATACTCCGACGTAACGTTGACGCGCACGCTGGGCGCAGCGGCGCTACGCTAGCAAAACGCGAGCACGCGACCGGCGCGACCAGCGTCTGTCGGCGCGGCCCGGTGGCAACCGGCGCGAAATGCAACTTGCTGCATTTTTTCGACGACGCTACTTCGACAGCATGCACCACGTCTGCCTCTCTTGGTGCCGCAGGGACGCCAGGCGCGTTCAAACGCGCATGCGTCAAAGCAACGCAGCGCGGTGCGAGCCTTATGGCAGGCGGATCGGCCCCTGGCGTGGCATCGCCGGCGTGACTCGACGAAAGAAACGCCGGCGCGCACGCGTGCCGCGTCACTGCGAAATGTGATGGCGCCTTGAGTGTGGCATGTAGTCATGTACAGTGCTCAACTCGGCTGTCTACAATGACGGAGCGTCGTGCGCGAAACAGTACGGGCGACATCTGCAGTCGCAAATACGCCACATCTGAGCACGCACGACGCCAGTGATGTGCCTGCCTCGCAATAGGGATCCCTGTTTATCGCCGCTGATGCAACAACCGCTTCGGCCGTTGAAACCGCTCTCACCGATTTCGTGAAAAAACAAAAAAAAAACAAGAAAGAAAGCCGTAGTAAAACTGTTGTTGCTGTGATATGATATCACGATGCGAAAGTATTTCTTTTTTCCTGTTGTTTTATTTCGATATTGTAATGTTAGAGCGCTTCGACGGCCAAATCAGTCCTCGCGGCCGCGGAGATAAACAAGGGTGAGAACTGCAAGGCAGGCACATCATTGACGCCACACATGCTCATATGTCGCGTATTTGCAACTGCATATGTCACTCGTGCTGTTCCGCGCGCGACGCTCCGTCGTTATAGAAAGCCGAGTTGAACACTGTACACACATGACACGCACCTGCTGATTATCATGTTTGCACCATTCACATACCTCCGTAATTCATTCACGTGACGTAATACCAAGTTTGGCATATGTGACACTAGCTAAACGGCCACGAGAACATCAAGAGTGTGGCATGTAGTCATGTTGTTGAATGACACGCATGTGTTGGTTATCATGTTTGAACGCGTCATTTACCTATGTCGTCCGTTCGCGACACGTAATACCGAATTTGGTACATGTGAAGCTGGCGAAATGGCTGCGAGCGCGTCATGAGTGTGGCATGTAGTGATGTTGTTACATGACACGCGTCTCATAATTATGGTGTTTCCACTACTTACATACATTCTTCATCTACTCACGTCCTGTAATACGAAATTTGGTATATGTGAAGCGAGCGACATGGCTGCGAGCGCATCATGAGCGTGGCATGTGGGAATGTTGTTACATGACGCGCATCTCAAGATTATCATGTTTGCACCAATTACATACCTTCGTCATCCATTCACGTCCTGTAATACCAAATTTGGTATATGTGAAGCCAGCGGAACGGCCGCGAGCGCATCATGAGCGTGGCACGTAGTCATATTGTTACATGACACTCATCTCATAATTATCATGTTTGCACTAGTTACATACCTTCGTCACCCATTCATGTTCAGTAATACCAAATTTGGTATATCCAAAGCTAGCAAAATGGCCGGGAGCGCATGATGAGGGTGGCATGTAGTCATGTTGTTACATGACAGGCATGGCTTGATTTTCATGTTAGGGTCTGTCGCTTCTGTTCACCATGTAGTCGTGTCATATCAGACCAGTTTCGCAACATGTCATGTGAACGAAACCACCGCAAGATCACCAAGACCATAAAATGTATATCGTGACATTCATGGCATACACGTCTTGATTTTCATGTTATGACTAATTGCTTATGCTCGTCATACAGTTATATTATGCCATACCAAGTTTGGTATCGATACCCTTATCGAAACGGCTAGGAGAGCTAAAAAACGTAGGTGGCTAGATAGATAGATAGATAGATAGATAGATAGATAGATAGATAGATAGATAGATAGATAGATAGATAGATAGATAGATAGATAGATAGATAGATAGATAGATAGATAGATAGATAGATAGATAGATAGATAGATAGATAGATAGATAGATAGATAGATAGATAGATAGATAGATAGATAGATAGATAGATAGATAGATAGATAGATAGATAGATAGATAGATACGCTGAAAGTCACCGAAGTTCGCTATGAAATGCTTCGCATTCTAGTAGTCTACAGCAACATACCGGGGGTTCTGACTCGTCATATTTTGCTCTGCAGTCCGCTACGCTAATCAACACAGCCTTTCGCTATGCACGTGGCCGCAATGCAGCATTTCGCGCTCGTGTTACGCAGATCTTGAAACAGCTACAATTTATATTCTATCACCAACGCTTTTCCATATTCTTTCAATTTAAAAACTGTAATTTGACACGTGCAAGAAAACGTGGCCCCCTTCTGATCGACTCGGGATGTGTGAGAGAGCAAGAGCGAAAAGCCACGGGGCACACAAGACATCAGGGGCTTGCTACTGCGTCGCTCAAGACACAGAGGTGTCATTCCACGTCTTGTCTTGTCTTGTCTCCTAGGAGATCTTGGCTCATACCCACATAGGGGATTGGCCACACTGTACCTCATAATATATCATTTTTTACAACGCGACAGAGTTTAAAAGAAGAAAAGAAACAGAAAAATTTTACCGCAGTGTTAGCTTCTGCATTGCATACATTTTCAGCGCGTTGCCTAAATAAAAACACGTACCAACTATTGTGGTTATCAGATCGCGCTTGTCCAGTGTATAACTTTGCGTTTTCGGGTGTCTTTATTTGTGTTACAGTGGTGCCGTGAACATATCAGGCCCCTTGTAGTTCTGGTGAAATATTCCAATTCTTTGCTATTGCATTCATTGCTTCACCCTAGTGGCGCATCTGTTATTTTTGTTTAACCGTTTGCTTCTGTAGAGCTGCAAGAAATGAATGAAACGACGATGTTCTGTAAAAGTGAACCACCCGTTCTCTTTCGCTAACCTTAAAGGGGAACTTCTAGAGCAAGAGGCGTCAATTAGGAGCATTCATATCTACAGCGCACATGAGAATATATCGAACCAGTTTGTAAATAGACAAACAACCTTTAAGCTGTTATGCTCGAGATTCGCCGTCTTTCGTAGACAAAAATATTCCTATTCATAAGCATGAATCAAAAAGCACTCTGCTTGCTTTCTTCTTCCTCTCCTGCTTGTTACAAGTGTC